AGAAGAAGAAGAAGAAGAAGAAGAAGAAGAAGAAGAAGAAGAAGAAGGAGAAGAAGAAGAAGAAGGAGAAGAAGAAGAAAAGGAAGGAAGGAAGGAAGGAAGAAAGAAAGGAAGGAAGGAAGAAAGAAAGAAAGAAAGAAAGAAAGAAAAAGAAAGAAAGAAAGAAAGAGAAAGGAAGGAAGGAAGGAAGGAAGGAAGGAAGGAAGGAAGGAAGAAAGGAAGGAAGGAAGGAAGAAAGAAAGAAAGAAAGAAAGAAAGAAAGAAAAAAAAGAAAAATAGAAAAAGTTCCTACCTTTGAGAAGCTTCCATTCTAATGGGGAAAACAACATGTAAATGGTGCATACAAGTTATAACCAGAGTAAATGAAAGCTAGTCTGAGAGGGGAAGGCATTAACAGCTGGAATGGAGTGGAAATGGGAGTAGGGGAAGGTAGAGGCTGGGAAAGATTTCCTGTAGAAAATAGGATTTGAATTTAGTCTTGAAGGAACCATGGAAATTAAGAGGTAGAAGTGAGAGGGCATAGTATTCAGCGGAGTACAGCCAGTGCAAAGGTTTGGAGGGAGAAAAAGGTGTGAGATCTTGATCAAGTTGCTATGAGTTGTAGAATCACAGATTTGTAGTTAGAAGGGTCATTAGAAGGTGTGGATCCTTTGGGCCTCAATGCTAGCACCTGAAAGTGAGGGTTATAAAAGGAATCCTCCTTCTATCTCTAAATGTATGGTCATGTCATCCTGTGATGACTATTGTCATGGAACCCTGAAGCCTTAAAATACCAGTCATAAAAGATTGTTTGGTTTGTCCAGCATGAAGAATAGATATTATTTTGAATATAAATTCATAGACAAGAATAATTTTTGTGGACTATGTGTATATGAACTTTGTGAAGTGGAATAAAGATACTTCATCCAATTAATTAATCCCTAAATCCCCATTTTAAGAAAGAAAAAATAGACCTGCTATCCTAAATTGTGCAGACTGCCTACACAGAGTGCATACATCTGGCCCACATTCAGTCACATCCCCTTCATTTAGCCATTAACAACATAGCCTGAAAGCAGAGAAATTGCTCCCAAATTCTGATGCTGTTGCTGCAGGTGATCGCATAAAAATAGTAATGGTTGTCCTAGCTTGCTCCACAGAAAGTAGACAGAACCTGATTCACAATAGGCCAGATGGCCCACACTGTATCCCAGATTTCATCTACAAGGGATGACATCCAGAGCCAGGACACAGCATCCATATGTGACCCTAAATTTATTACCCAACTTCCTTTCTAAGAATGATCTGGGACCTTTGTTTCCTGAGATCACTGGTGGTTGGTTGCTCAGTGAAGGTGAGACAGCTCAGCCGCATCCCAGCTTCTTCTGTTGACATCTGGTGTTTCTCTGGGTAGAGAACTCTGAGATCCTAAAACAGGCAGTTGAAGGGCAGGAAGTTAGATCCTGTCAGAATAAAAGACAAACATGGCAAAAACCAACCAAAGACCAACACCACCTTGCTAAGAGAACCCCAGAAGCCACAAGGTACAGGTGCTCCTACGAGTGTATCCTATCTTTCAACACAGTTTCCCACATAAATCATTCCCCTGACCCATATAGCTTAAACCTGCTTTAATAAGGACAATCATCAACAGGACAATGGTGAAATCTTGGTAAGAAGATTAAAGGAAGATGTTCATCATTATGTTTAGTATCCATGGTCAGTTCTTTGAAAGTTGATCACAATAGAAGGAGATTCACTAAAGGGAGAAACAGAATGAGATCTGACATGACCAGGGGACCAGGCAAGACTGATACTTTAAGGGGACGGCCAGTAGGTGGAGACAGAAGGACAGAAATTTGGGAGATTTTGCCGCAGTACTTACCTTTGCAGGGGCTAGAGAGAAAGAGCATAGTTCTTAGGATATCTAAAGAAAACAAGAGCTTGGACTTCTAAAAAATGGTAAACAACACAAAATATGGAAACTTTTTTTATGTAAGTTGTTCTAAGTGATCAAAGATTGTCAACAAGGATGATGACAAAGCTAGAAAGCAAAGGAAAGGAGGCAAGCTGATTGATGACCATTGCTCAAGGGTTCTGGTCAAGAGAGGGGGAAGTCAATGGGGAAAGTACATCAAGTTCTTCAACTAGGAAATAAACACGATAAGTGTTCACCTTTAAACATTTGATAATTTTATTAAAACAGTTTGGTGCTGGTGGAAAAGTACAGGAATTGATTGATGGAACAGATTAGGTAAACCATACAAAGAAACAAAAAGACCAGAGCAACATAATGTTGGATAAACCCCCAAACCCCAGGCACTGAGGTCAGGACTCATTAGCTCACAAACACTGGAAAGCAGTTTGCAGAAATTGGTATAGATCACGTCATAAACCAAGATAAAATTCCAAATGGATACGTAACTTAGGCATAAAAAATAACATCATAAAAAAATAGAAGAAATTGCCTTTTGGATCTATGGGCAGGGGAAGAGTTTGTGATTAAACAAGGGATAAAGAGGATCACAGAAAATAAAATGGACAGTTTTCATTATATAAAACTGAGAAGTTTTTGCACAAACAAATCTAATGTAGTAAAAATTAGAAGGAAATGAAACTGGGAAAAATCACTATAATAAGTTTCTTTGATAAAGATCTCATAAACAAGATATATAAGGAACTGATTCAAATTCATGACTAAACCACTCCTCAACAGAAAAATAGTCAAAGGATACAAATAGGCAGTTTTCAAAGAAAGAAATCCAAGGTATTAACACCCATAAGGAAAAAAATCCTCCAAATCATCAGTAATTAGAGAAATTCAAATTAATGCAATTCTGAGGTTCCATCTCATACCCATCATGTTGGCAAAGATGGCAAAATAGGAATACCACAAAATTGGAGTGGTTGTGAGAAAACAGGTATACTAATGCACTGTTGGTGGAGCTTTGAAATTGGCCCGGTCATTCTGGAAAATTTAGAACTATGCCCAACATGTTAATAAACTGTGAATATTCTTTGACCCAGCTAGGCCACTACTAGGCCTACATCACAAAAAGATCAAAGAAAAATGAAAAGAACCCATGTTACAAAAATATTTATTGCGGCTGTTTACGTAGCAGCCCCAAACTGGAAATTCATGGACTGCCCACTTATTGGAGAATGACCAAAGAAATTGTGGTATATGGGAAAAAAAATCTTACTATGTCATAAAGACAACAAAATGTAACATTTCAGAGAAAATTGGGAATACCCCTATTAATCGATGCAGAGTGAAGTGAGCAGAACTAAGAGAACAAAGAATGCTACTTATCAAGAGAAGTAACTTCCAAAGACTTTGGGACACTGATCAATGCAAATACAAATCAAGAGTTCAAAAAAACCCCATCTAATAAGCAGTGTATAATCTCCCTTTTTTCTTTTACTTTCTTTTTAAGCTGAACCTAAATGATGAACACTGGCTTTGGAGTCAGAAAATCTAGATTTGACTCCTGACACTGCCACTCACAATCCATACGGGCTTAGGCAAGTCACTTAAACACTCTGGACATCAATTTCCTCTTGTGTGGGAATTGGACTATGATATCTAACAACTAAGGTTCTAGTATTTGGGGAACTAATATCCCTGACAAGTGGTCATCTGACCTCTATTGGCTTCAGAACTTTGGCTGAATATCTCTTGTGATGGGGAACTCAGTGCCTCCCAAAGTAGCTTTTTCTACTTTGGGATAGCTCTAGTGACCAGTGGTTCTGAACCTTTTTTATGTCTTATGAACCCTTTGGAAATTTGGTAAAGCCAATGGAGCCCTTTTCAGAATAATGTTTTTAAATGTATTAAATAAAATAAATAGAATTACAAAGGAAATCAATTATCCTTAAATGCAATTACAAAAATATTATTTTATTATTTATTTATATTATTTTTTAAAAGGTCACAGATGCCAGGTAAAGAACCCCTGCTCTGGTTTTTAAGAAATTTATCTTTATACAAAATGAAGTGAGCAGAACCAGGAGAACATTGTACGCAGTAGCAGCAATAATTGTATGACTATGAATGATTTCTCTATTTTCAATTATCAATGATTCAAGACAATCCCAAAGATTGTCTTGAAGAAAAATACTATCTACCTCAAGAGAAAGAAATGAGGTTGTCTGAATGCATACTGAAACATACTATTTTTCACTTTCTTTTTTTTTGTTTAATTCAAGACTTCTTACACAAAATGAGTAATATGGAAATGTTTTACATAATTGCACATATGTAACATATCAGATTGCTTACTGTCTCAGGGAAGGGGGAGATGAGGGAGGACAGGATAGAATTTGGAACTCAAAATTTTACAAAAAAGAAAACCAAATGTTAATAAAATTTTAAATGTAATTGGGGAAAAATAAAATATTATTTTAAAATAGAAGTTTATCTTTACATTGAGCTAAAATGTCCTTCTTTTCCACTTACACCCATTACTGTTAATTTCACATTTCAAATCTAAATGCTCTTCTATATAATTGACCTTTAAATACTTGAGGACAACTATCATGCTGAAGACCTCCCAAGCTAGAAAAGATCACAAGAGGTCTTTGACTATAATCCCTGGTCTTTAGGCAAGCTTAACTCAAATTATCTAGAAAGATGATAGCTGAAGCTATATTTAAAAGTTTGTGGGATTTGCATTACTCCCTCTTCTAATTCTATTGCTTCCTCAAGAGAATACTCAAATTGCTCAAGTCTAACTGAAATCTTCCTGGTAGCAATTAATTTGCACTCAGTGAAGTGGTGAGGAACAGTGACTCAGGGTTCTCTCTCTCTCTCTTTCTCTCTCTTTTTTTTGTAATTTTTTAAAAAAATTTATACATAAATACAAAATGAGAAAAGGAAAAAAAATGCCATGTACACAGCAGACCATAAAAGAGGATTCTACATAATCCAATAAATTTCCATTTCAGGAAAACCTATATAAGAAACACTACACATTGTTTTCAAAGCTGCCTGCCCAGCTTTTCTTTGCTTCCTTGTTGGTTTTGTTTTGTTCTCTGGTGTACATTTTTTTTACTTTTTTTCCCCTTGCCCTCACCCTAAAAAAGGCTACAATAAAGCATGGCTACATATACATATACATATACATAGATATCTATAAACATAGACATATCTACAGATATACACTCATATACATATATGTAAGACTAGTATGCTTATTTCCTCCTATCATCTGTTTCTCTGAAAGCAGATAGCACCTTCCTTCATAAGTCCAAATCTTTCCATGTTTTTGTAAACCAATCAGCTCATTATTTTCCTATACCACAGCAATATTCCTTTCTGAATTCAAACAGCATGTTCCTTCATAGGATCTTTGGGGTTAATTTGGGTATTTTTAATAGTTAGAATGGCTTGGTTGCTCAAAGTTGTTCTTAAAATAATACCAATGTTACCATATACAATATTCTCTTGGTTTTGCTCATTTCGCTCTTCATTATTTCATTGAGTTCTCTCCACACTTTTCTAAAATCATTGAGCTCATCATTTCATATAGCAGAGTAATATTACATCATGAACATATACCCCAATTTGTTTAGCCATTCCCCAATTGGTCGGCATCCCTGCAATTTCCAGTTCTTTGCCATCACAAAGAAAGCTGCTATAAATATATTAGAACATGTAGGTTCTTTCCCATTTTTCCTAATCCTCTTGGGAAACAGACCAAGTAGTGGTATGACTGGATCAAAGGGTATCAGCAGTTTAATAACTCTCTGGGCATAATTCCAAATCTCTCTCCAAAATGACTGGATCAGCTCACAGATTCACCAACAATGAGTTAAGGTGCCAATTTTTCCACATCCCCTCCAACAGTTGTCACTTTCCCTTTCTATCATTTTAGCCAATCTGATAGGTGTAATATGATATCTCAAGGTTGTTTTAATTTACATTTCTCTAATCAATAATAATTTAGAACATTTTTTCATATGACTACAAATGGTTTTTATTTCTTCTTTGGGGAACTGCCTGTTCATATCCTTTGACTATTTTTCAATTGAGGAATGACTTGCATTCTTATAGATTTTTTTCATTCAAAGACAATGTTTATTAGAACATCTGCCATATTGGCCAGATAGGATTAAGGGTGGGAAGTGGCCAGGGACAATTGGGAGGTAATAGAACTGAATTGGGACATTGGGTGTAGCCACAATGAAAGGCTAGTTGATAGGATTATAGCCTCAGATGAATGCCAGAGATTTGGCTAGGTGAGAAAGTCCAGGGTTTTTCTTTTTTGGCATCCATATCCCAAAGACATGGTCTTAGACTGAGGCTAAAATTGGAATGGCATTTAGTATATATATTAATTTTGGTAAAATTGTTATTTTTATTATATTGGCCCTACCTAACCATGAACAATGAATATTTCTCCATTTAATTAAATCTGATTTTATTTGTGTACAAAGTTTTTTATGATTTTGTTCATATAGCTCCTGGGTTTGTTTTGGTAGATGTATTCCCAGGTATTTTATACTATCTAGAGCAGAAGTGGAGAACCTGTGACCTTGAGGCCACATGTAGCCTTTTAGGTCCTTGGGTGTCCTTGGACTGAGTCCAAGTTTTGCAGAACAAATTCTTTTATTAAGGAGCCTTGTTCTGGGAATTTTGGATTTAGTCAAAGAGCCACACTTTAGGACCTAGTGGGCCATATGTGGCCTCAAGGCCACAGGTTCCCCTTGATCTAGAGTTATTTTAAATGGGGTATCTCTAGCTATCTCTTCTTACAGGATCCTATTTGTAATATATAGGAATGCTGATGATGTAGGTGGGTTTATTTTATATTCTGCTACTTTGCTGAAATTATTAATTGTTTCAAATAATTTTTGGTTGAGTCTTTAGAATTTTCCAAGTATATCATCATATCATCTGCAAAAAGAGATAGTTTTCTGTGTGACCCTAGGCAAGTCACTTAACCCCAATTGCTTCAAAAACTGAGAAGAGAAATGAGAATGATGGAAGAAAATCACAAAAAATAACTCAACAGCTTGCTAAGGGAGACCTAAAAAATACCGGAGAAAACAATACCTTAAAAAATAGACTAACCCAAATGGCAAAAGAGGTCCAAAAAACCAATGAGGAGAAGAATGCCTTAAAAAGCAAAATTGGTCAAATGGAAAAGGAAGTCCAAAAGCTCACTGAAGAAAAAAATTCCTTAAAAATTAGAATGGAGCAAATGGAAGCTAATGACTCTATAAGAAATCATAAAACAAAACCAAAAGAATGAGAAATAGAAGACAATGTCAAATATCTTATTGAAAAAACAACTGACCTGGAAAATAGATCCAGGAAAGATAATTTAAAAATTATTGAACTACCTGAAAGCCATGATCAAAAAAAGGGTCTAGGCATCATCTTTCAAGAAATTATCAAGGAATACTGCCCTGATATTCTAGAATCAGAAAGTAAAATAGAAATGGAAAGAATCCAACGATCACCTCCTGAAAAAGATGGCTAAAAGAAAACTCCTAGGAATATTATAGCCAAATTCCAGAGTTCCCAGGTCAAGGAGAAAATATTGCAAGCAGCCAGAAACAAACAATTCAAGTATTGTGGAAACACAATAAGGATAACACGATATTTAGCAGTTTCTACATTAGGGGATCAGAAGGCTTAGAATATGATATTCCAGAGGTCACAGGAGCTAGGATTAAAGCCAAGAATCACCTACCCGGAAAAACTGAATATAGTATTTCAGGGGAAAAAATGGATATTCAGTGAAATAGAGGACTTTCAAGCATTCTTGATGAAAAGACCAGAGCCAAATAGAAAATTTGACTTTCAAATACAAGACTCAAGAGAAGCATGAAAAGTTAATAGGAAAGAGAAATCATAAGGGACTTATTAAAGTTGAACTGTTTGCATTCCTACATGGAAAGATGATATTTGTAACTCATGACATCTTTCTCAGTATTAGGATAGTTGGAGGGGAAAAAAAACATGTATATATATATATGTGTGTGTGTGTGTGTGTGTGTGTATCTATATATGTGTGTGTATATATACATATATATAGTACATATATGTGTGTATATATATGTATGTGTGTGTGCGTGTATTAGATACCATCCCTTCATCTTCAACTCACCTTGTGCCCAGAGGGCACATGAAGGGATGATATCTAAAAAACAAAATTAAGGGGTGAGAGAGGATTATACTGGGAGAAGGAGAAAAGGAGAAGTAAAATGGGGTGAATTATCTCACATAAAAGAGACAAGCAAAAGCTTGTACAGTGCAGGGGAAGTGGGGGAAGGTGAGAGGGAATGAGTGAATCTTACTTTCATCAGATTTGGCTTAAGGAAAGAAAAAATACACATTCAATTGGGTATGGAAATCTATCTTACCCTACAGGAAAATAGAGAGGAAGGGGATAACACAGGGGCGGGGAGGGAATGATAGAAAGGAGGGCAGATTGGGGGAGGGGGCAATGAGAAGTAAACATTTTAAGGAGGGACAGGGTCAAAGGAGAAAAGAAGTGGGGGGCAGGATAGGATGGAGGGAAATATAGTTAGTTTTTCACAACATGACTATTATGGAAGTGTTTTGCATGACTACACATGTATAACCTGTATTGAGTTGCTTGCCTTCTTAATGAGGGTGGGTGGGGAGGGAAGGAGAGAATTTGGAACCCAAAGTTTTAAAAACAAATGTTAAAAATTGTTTTTATATGCAACTGGGAAATAAGATATACAGGCAATGGGGTATAGAAATCTATCTTGCCCTGCAGGAAAATAGAAGGGGAAGGTAGATAAGAGAAGGGGGGGGGCAGTGATAGAAGGGAGAGCACATTGGGGGAAGGGGCATTCAGAATGCGTACTGTCTTGGGGTAGGGGTAGGGGAGATATGGGGAGAAAATATGGAACTCAAAATCTTATGGAAGTGAAAGTTGAAAATTAAAAATAAGTTAATTAATTTTATTTATTTATTTTTTTTTGCTTAGGCAGTTGGGGTTAAGTGACTTGCCCAGGGTCACACAGCTAGTAAGTGTCAAGTGTTTGGTCTGAGGTCAGATTTGATCTTAGGTCCTCCTGACTTCAGGGCCAGTGCTCTATCCACTGCACCACCTAGCTGCCCTTTAAATTAATTAATTTAAAAACAAAGAAAGAGCTTCTATGTCTTCTCTCAGTTTTCTCTTCTTAAGGGATGCAATCCTTTTTTTTCTGCAAGTAGCATGTATACCCTGGCCTTATTCTCTTGGGGCCAGGCTTCCTACAACATCCCTCAGGGTTCCAAGACACTCTAAGAATTTTGTGGGGTGTTATCTATGCATTCCAACTTAGTGTTCCCTAACAATCTGCAAGTATATCAATTATGCTTTGGTTCATAAAAATATCAGTCAATCTTCTTTGGCATAAACCATTGGCGATAAACCTCCAGGTTGACACTAATTTATTAACAAACACATTTTGAGTCTAGCCAATCAATTAGTGGTGATCCCACACCTCCCTATTGTCCACACAAATAACATGATAGACTTTGCCAAATAGTTTCTTAAAATAGAGGCATGCTATGTCTATAGCATTTCTTCATTTAACAAACATTGTTAGATATTTTCAGTCTAATAAACCATTAAAAAAGTAAAATGAAGTTGGTCTGGCATGATCTACTCTTGATGAAGCCATGCTAGTTCTAGTGATCACTGCTTTCCTTTTTTAATGCTCACAAAAAAAAACCCATTTTATAATGATTTGGGTTTTTCTAGGAATAAAAATGAAGTACGCTATGCTATCATTGAAGATTGTCATTTTGCTTCTTTTTTTCTTTGAAAAAGAGAACAAAAATAGAAACAAAACCAGAGTGGAGTAGTTCTGCTGTCTTTGCATTAAGCTCCTATCTCCTCTCTGGTCCTTTTGTTGGGAAAACTTGCATTGATAACATCTGGAATATATCCCTTTCACTTCTTCCCTGATTTAAGTTCCATTTATCTGTTAAAATCTCAGCCCAGCCCAACCTCCTCTGATCTGCAACTAATGTAGCCCATACTGATTTCCCATACCAATTTTAATCAGCACTTAATTGGTTCTAATTCATGTTTGTTCCTCTGTCTAGGCAGTAAGCTCCTTGTGGGGCAAAGATCTTTTTGCAGTCTCCATGATGCTATGTATACTCACACTTCAGATCTTCAAAGATGGATTTCACTCCCTCTAACAATGACAATCTCAATCTTTCTATTCCATTATTGATTTAGGTGTCTTTGCAAGGTATTTTAACCTAAACAAAATTCATCATCTAGGGTTCGACCTTCTGGTGGGGAGCCTTTCTAATACTGCTAGGTTGTTCCTTGGATGACAGACACATTGTCCATACCTGACTCTCACACTTGGTAGGACCAGCCAGAACTTTCCTTCAGCTGGTACAGCCTTCCAGAACAAGCAGACACTTTGATGCTGGTACGAGGCACCTGGGGAGAGTTTTATTGGTAATCAGTAAAAACTTCATTAACTTTGTTTTGACAAAAGATGGGACATGGGAAGATCAGCATAAGAAGGCCTTACTGACCATTGAAACTGGCCCTAACTCAAAACTTTAGACCAGTTAGTCAATCATGAAGTATTTATTAAGCTTCTTCTATGTGTCAGACATTGTGCTAGGCAATGAGAATACAAATAAAAACCTGACGGTGGTATTTGGGGGAAGAAACACCTTCTGCATATCCATCTGCTTACCCTTCCTATATTCTAAACAGCAAACAATACTCAGAGATCTAGAAAGAACTCCTTCACCCCACAAAATTTGCAACTCTCACATCCTAGAATAGAAGTAAAAACTTTCCTAGGGCCATTGTATTATGACCTTGAGTAATCCTCTTCTGTTGCCACCAAGTCCTTCAATACCTACTCTATTCAGGACAAGTCATTTAACTTCTAGGAGCCTTAGTTTCCTCATTATAAAGTAAATGAGTTGATAGATGGCATCTAAACTTTTTTTCAACCTAGAAATATGTGATTCTATGATTCCCTAGTCACAAAACTAATAAATACACAAAGTGGAATTAAAACCCAGTTTTTCCTTGAAATCTAGTCCAGCACTGTCCATATTCCACACTGCCTCAGGAGTACCATCTCTGTTGTCTATGGTTCTGGGTGTGAGAATGGATAGGACTCCTTAGAAGATTTCCTACTCCAAGATTCTGGAATTTGTTTCTAGGATTTTCTAGGGAGATTTTACAGTGTCCCAAGGATACTGGTTTCTCTCTGATGCAAGACTTCCACAACTTCTTTCTGAGGGAGGGTGCTCCATTACTCTGAGCCCAAGAAGCTGCCCTCAGTTGGAAAGCTGATTGCATTAACTTTGTGAACGTGGCAGGAATGCAAATGGATTGCTTTTATTTCCCATTTGCTGCCTGTGGTTAAGCAAACTAACCAAATGCACTGTGGAAATAAATATAATCCTCTGTGAGTGCTGTCTCCAGGGGAGCTTTGTTTCTAGCTCACCTGCTTTCTAGTTCCATTTGCTCCTTCCAACCCACAACCCAGTGGCCACAAATGCCCCATTTATGCTGTTCCTAATGTCCTGGTCAAGTAAGAAGGGGGCAGGAAGTGGCACTTCTTTAACAGATAACAGCAAAGAGCCCCAAATAATCCTAATATCACAGGGCAGAAGGTACCTTAAAAGTCCACTAGTCCAATTCCTCTCCCCCTGCCCCATTTTAGAGATGAGTAAATTGAGGCAACTTAGACACCCATAAATTCGCAGGAGACAAAAAATGAAGACATGAGGAGTCAGTAGTAAAAAATCATGGCCTCAAGTGTCTATACACGAGAGGAAGGATAAGTCTTAAGGTAAAGGGGCAAAATTGAATTCATAGATATCACTGGGGCTAGATGTGAAGAAAGTCACACCTGAACTATGTCTCTGAATCTGCATACTGTATTTGGAATAAACAGGGGAAGTAAAAGAGATTGCAGTGTCTATTAAGCAGGAAGACTCATGTGATGAAATCCAATGATCAGAACAAGGAAACATAATGGAGGATATCAGGATGAAAGTCGAAGGACAGAAAAAAAAAATGATTTTTATCACAGGGACAGAAAAGGCAAAAAATGAGGAGTTAATGAAATAAATCACAAGTCAGACATAATAGCCAGGCATAATATTGATGAGGGGCTTCAATTATCCAGATATCTGGTTTGAGTTAGCTCTCTGCCAGAGCAGCTAATAACTTTTTGACTTGCCTTAGTGATAACTTATCCTGTTAAAGGTGGAGAAGAGACAACAAGGAGAAATTATGTTTTGGATTTGATGCTCACTATGCAGAGTAATCGGTTGCTGAGGGGTGAAAAGGATGGGAACAGGAGGGAAGAGATCATTTCCTTCTAGAGTTTATGATAAAGAAAAGGAATCAATCAAGTAGGATTCCTTAAGCAAATACTAACGGTGGGGCAATATGCTAGGCAATAGGAATATGAGTATAAAGAAGGAGACAATGAACAAGCACATATAAAATATACACAGCATGAATATAAAGTTAATAGATATAAGTATATACAAAAGTCATTAAATATTAGGTAATTTGGGAGGAAGGGCGCTAACAAGTAGGCGGTCATGAAAGGCTTCATGTAGTCAAAGATGGTGCCTGAACTGTACCTTAAAGGAAGAAAAGGACTCTGTGAGATGGAGTTAAGGGGAGAGTACATTCCAAGCAGGGGGGATGGCCAAGGCAAAGGCATGGGCTTAATTCTCATTTTATGTATCTATTTTCTCTGCAAAGGAGAATGATCTTCATACTGGAGATTACAGAACAAAAATTGCTAATGAAGAGTAAATGCCCAAGATAAAGTTGTTATTCATCCTTCATTTTCAAAGAGTACCAATGACGTCATGGAGTGATATCTTGACTTGCCCATGAATTGGATTTAAGCGAGGTAGAGTTGCACAAAGTTTTCAGCCTCACTCTCTTCCAGAGTCATCAAAGTAAGTGGCAAGACAAAAGTCAGGACAACTGGCTGTTGCCCATGATGTAGTGGATGACCGTGGTGTCTTCAATGTCTGACCAAGCTTTAAGTGCTCTATAGGGCCTGCTTCTGCCACCTGCATGGCCTTTAGATCAAACTGTCCTCATATACACATTCCACTAGAGGAAGAGTTCATATACCTGGGGCAGAAGTTCTCTTAATTCACCAACCAACCTGGTTTAGCTTATCTGCCAAGACGGTTTTACCAGGTTGTAACTGCTGCACATGCTACAGCTTCTTGGAGCTACAGGTGAGAATGGGGTGAAAGGTAGACACCAAAGGTGGATGAGCAGCCTTGAAAAGGGCTCAGCAAACCCTCACACCAGAGACACTAGGCCTCCCTGAACACCCAAGAAAAGTAAGGAGATGATAAGAAAGCACCTAACTGCTCTTACTAAATTCAAGTCACTTGCACACATCCTCAGATCCTGAAAAAACTGCCATATGTGATAACAGGAATATTTGAAATTTCATGAAAAAACACAAAATTGGAGAAGGGACAATATCCTAATTTTAAAAAAAATGAATGGAGTCTGGAAACTATGGGTCAGTGAGTTTGACTCTGATGCCTGGAGAAAATCTAGAATGGATCATTAAAGGATTGTTAATAAATATCTAGAAAGGGAAGAGGTAATTATAAAAAGCCAAGGATTTCTTGTGCCAGACTAACTTAATTTCTTTCTTTTTTTTTTAAGGCAATTGGGGTTAAGTGACTTGCCCAAGGTCACACAGCTAGTAAGTGTCAAGTGTTTGGTCTGAGGCCAAATTTGAACTCAGTCAGTGTTCTATCTGCCCCTCTTTTTTTTTTTTGACAGGATTATTAAACCAGTAGATGAAGAGAATGCTCTGGATATAGTTTAACTAAATTTTAGCAAAATTTTTAATAAAGTATTTCATATTATTTTTGTAGAGAAGATAGAGATACATGGATTAGACAAAAATGTAATCATATTAACAACTACTTACCAAGTGTCACTAACACACAGATTGTGAAAGGAGCCCAGAGAGTGGCAGCACCCCCCACAAACCACCATTCTTGCTTTCAGATCAGCCATCATTTAGGTAAACAATTCCTATGGAAAAGGGGCAAGCTATCCCTACCAGCTGCCACCAAAAGGGTAAGCATGCCAGGCTAGTTGAAGCAGAAAGGGAAACCAAACCCTGACAGAGAGACAGAATGCAGCATGTGCCAGACTACTACCACTTTGACCACCATCTTCCCTCAAACCTTGATAGGTATGCCCAGGACTCTGAACTTAAGAGCCTTGGGAAGAGCAATATGTCCAGTCCAAAGCAATATGTCCACATACTCCCAAAGGCCCAGGTCTGTTCTCCATGTATGCCAAACCCATCTGCTTTCCTTTGAAGGGCAAGTTCCAGGGTGAGGCTTATATGTACAATAGCCATGAGTTAATCATTCCTCCCCAAAGAGCTGAAAAGCACCCAGAATAAGGGCATTCATAGGAAGAAGACACAAGGTCACAAATATGGTATCCATTAATCAGGACCCCCCAAATTTAGAGAGCTTGGCTTTAGCAAGGAAGATAGAGGGATGGATGATAGTGCAGCCATCCCATAGGTATTGACCCATGTTGCCAGTTGAGCAGACCTAGTACCACATAGAAACATTTGTTGAGAATCAGAATGGGAATATTGTGGTTTCAGTCTTCACCCATGAATGGGCTATTAAGAAGCACTTCTAAAGAACCAGAAATGTCAATGTCCATGAGAATATAGGAAGGGAACTGGCTCAATGAAGACTGGAGACAGAAATAAAGGCCATGACCTTCTACTCCACTCCCTTGGGAATCATCCTCAAAATATAGAAAATTACTAAAGAATACTTTGAAAGAAGCTTGGGTGGTGCTACAAGAACTCCAAATGAATAAAAGACAAATTTCATTTCTCTTGGAATTTTAATGCAAAAAAAAAGTTAATACTCTTTTATTGAGAGATGGGCACTTGAGAAATGATCACCTTGGTATTTTATAATATGATAAATACAACACTGGGAAAAAAATCTGGGTCACCTTGGAGAGGTAACAATCCCAATGGCTCTGCCCTGATTATATCTCATCTGGATATTGAATTCTGTTCTAGGAGTAACATTTTAAGATGAAAATTGTCAAGCTTGAGCATGTACAGAGTATGGTGACCAAAATGGAGAGGGAACTAGAGGCCATGCCAAAAAAATTGACAGGACTGAAAATACTTAGCTTGGAAAAAAGAAAACTTAGGGGGCACAGGATAGCTAACTTCAATGATTTTGCAAAGGAAGAATTACACTTAATCTTCCCAGAGGAAAGAAATAGGAGCAATGGATAGCAGTTGGGAAACATCATGGGGTGCTTGGAAGAGGATACTTGGAGTCAGAGGAGCTGAGTTTAAAACTCAATTATGCCACTTATTACTTATGTGACCTTGGGCAAGTAGCCTAAACTCTCTGGTTCTCAGTTTCCTTATCTGTAAAAAAAAAAGAGTTGGATTAAATTATCTCTAAAACTATTTTTAGTTCTAAATTTATGACCCAATAAGTTGAAGAAAAAAAAACAACCTAGAATCAGGTTCAGAATCACAGAATTTCAGATCTAGAAGGCACTTCAAAGGCTGTCTAGTTCAACCCCAACCTGGTCAAGAATTAAAATTTAATGGGAATAAATATGAAGTTTTTCACTTGGTTTTATAGAACCACCTGTAGAAGCATAACATGGAATATGCGTGTGTTGGGAAAGAAATTGGAGTTTTAGTGGATTGTGAGCTCAACTTCAGTCCATAGTGTAACAGTAGACAAAACAAACCAATGCAATCTTAAGTTGCATCAAGAGGCAGCATGGTTCCCAGAACCATGGGTAAAAATCCCTGATCATGCCACATCAGGTGTATTAAAATCGGTTCTAGAGCCAATATTTAAAGATGGATATTTCCAAGCCTAAGCATATCCAGAGGAGGTGACAATGAGGCAGATACAACTGAAATGACCACACAACAACAGAAAATTTCATGAGGGCAAAGATAGTGTGTTATATTCCAATGGATCTGTGATTTTGTCAATGCATATATACCCTTCAGAGATACAAATTGCAACCTACCAATGCCTGCCCATCCAGTATGATTCATGTCAATATTCTCCCATAAACCCTCCAAAAAGAGTCCAATCAACATGATGGGAGCTTTCCTCTAGATCACATGGATACCAATGGAGTGCATGGCAATCTATCAGTTATGACTCAATGTTGCTCCATGTCTGCCCCATAATTTTTCTAGTTCAGACATTTTCTTTATGACAACCTTTACTCTGCTTCTCCCACTTAATTCTTCATTTGTAAAGTGTTGCAGGCAACACACTCCCACCCTGTACCTCTCTGCCGCCCTTAGAATGCCCAAAATTTTAATTCTTTGGAGATTATAGCATTTATTCCTTGACTTGCAGCCAAACAATTAAGACTTCCTCTTCAAAAACTTTTTACGTCTCCAGTGTCCAAACAGTGTTCTACATACAGTAAGTACTTAGAAACATTCATCCAATTGGAATGAATTGAAATGAAGCTTTTCTCAGATTGTGAAATGTATCTGAGATAAGCTTTCCTTCTTCTAAGATTACATAATTATATCACCTTCTCACTTCCTTAAGTCACCCTTGGTTGAGTAACCTGAATGAGGGGAGTGGTGTGAGAGGACTCTTAAGTCTAATGAAAGTCATTCTTGCATGTAATATTGAGTTGGGGCAGTCCTGATGATCTGTGGGTTAGAAGGCTTTTTGGAAGAGCCAGGGGAGCAGGGTTGCTGTTCTCTTTGCCATACTTGCTTCCTCAAAAATCTTTTATGAGCCTGCTATGTAATGACTTCCCTTAAAACCTTGCTTACTCAAGTTTCCTAAGACACACTTACTATGTTGAAAATGAACTTGTTCATAAAAAAAGTAAACCTTGACACTTCCGTGAGGTAAGTTACCAGAAAGGTTGAGCAATGAAAGCTAAGGTCAAGGGATAAGATATAAATGAGAACACAGCCTCTCTTAAAACCTGTTTTGTGAGCCTTCCTGGGAAACTGGAGGAGTTTAATATCCCTGTGTCCCATTCCCCACTCTTTGCTTCAGCTCTCTGTCCATCACCCTACGATCCCCTTGCTTGGTCCAGAAGGCACAAGCGAGTGAGTACTACCTGCTGCCTCCCATCTTCATGGCTTAGGGATCACTAATTTAGTTGCAGAATTTGCCTTCTAGGGTGGGTGGAATTCAATTTGAGACCTGAAGGAACCTGAGGCAGCAAAGTGGATAGCATGCTGTAGTTGGAGTCTGGGAGACCTGAGTTCAAATTCTTTCTCAGAGGTTTGCTAGCTATGTGACCCTGGGCAGGTCTCTTACCTTTTTTCAGTCTCATTTTCCCTCATCTGTAAAATGGGGATAATAATAGCACCTAACTTTTAGGGTTGCTGTGAGGAGAAAATAAGATATTTGTAAAGTGTTTCATAAACTTTAGGATGATATGTAAATATTAGATATTATTATTATTACTAGGTATTCTTGAAACATACCCATGTTATACTTATACTCAGATGTCTATGCTATGGTCCACCAGCCAAAAGACCAGAAAGAAACTTTTATCCTGGATATTGTATCTGCTCTCAGCCCCTTTTCTGTCTCAGCTTCCTGATGTTTTTCAAATTCTTCTAGGGAACAAAGACCATGTCATGGGGATACCCTTCCCCAGTTGACCTTCCATAGAGAAAACAGATAAGTCAACCCATAGAATCAAGCTAAACCTGTGTTAATTAAAAACGTGTCCTCAAGCCAGTAGATATCAGACCAGAAAGCCCTGAGAATTGGAAACAACTGAGACACAGAACATTGGCCCTAGAGTAATGAATGTCAGAAAGGAAACTATAGCTACAGGCAAAAAAAAAAATCTCTATTTTAACATTAGATTCAGTGTTGAATGTCAAACCTCAAAGACCGAGTAAAAAAAGATGAGAAGTAATAGGACCCCAGGGTTTTAGAGGCCAGCTGGTCTAACCCCATGGTAGAGTGCTGAATTCAGAGACCAGAAAGATCTGTGTTCAAATCCAATCTCCATCACTTATGAGCTATGTAACTGTGAGTCAATCACTTAATTTTCCTGGGCCTCAGTTTCCTTACATACTTCAATGAATTGTTTGAGGAACAAATAAGATAATGTATCTATGAGATCTCATCAATGTCTATGGTCCCTCCAGAGATGCAGATCACAACCCAGCCATGCCTACCTGTCGTTTGTGCATTTCTTTAAGTTTTCAGAAGATTAGTGGAGGAGGTCCACCCGATATGTTGAGTTTCTTGCCAAGTTCTCTTGTTAGGGTCTTTCTTCTTCAAGGACATTGTTTATACTCTTTTTCCTAGATTATCCCTTTACCCTTTAGCCTGTAGATTTCCACCAGGCAGGCCTCCATTGCCTCTTTGGGTGCTCTTCAACTTCAATTATTCAGAGGGTATAGTGTTCCATGACTCACAATTACACAAGATACTGAAAGAATATTGATGTTTAAAAAAAGGTGTCTTGTTTCAGGAAGAAGTTTATCATTATTAAAAAAAATTGCCTACTTCTCAAAGTAATCCATCCCATTCTCCTCTTTCTGTTCAGTTCTGAACCCATCTCATGGTTTCTTTCCAGTGTGTATTCAAGATATATGGTTAGCTACATAGTGGGTAAACAGACAGATACACACACACACACACATAAATATATACAAATGCACACACATACATCATGTCCAAGATATGTGGATATATTTATAGATTATATAGCTATATCTGGATTACCTTTAGGAAATTGCAAAGATTTTTCTGAAATTCTTTATTCTACTCTATGATCTTCCATATTGACATATATGTATATATATGTTTACATATATGCCATATATCTATAATCTTTCATATGTGTGTATATGTATGTGTGTGTGTATGATTCTACACACATATGGAAGCAGATAAAGTGTTAGACTTGAAATCAGGGAGACCTGGGTTACATTCTCATGCAGATATTTGCTAGTTCTATAACTCAGGGAAAGTCACTAATCTCTCTAGGCCTCAGTTTCCTCTAAATAAGGGTAGTGGGGCGGTTGATTCAGTGATGTCTAAGGTCCTTTCAAACTCTAAATTTATGATCCAATGTAATCTAATAATCACCCACAAGATTGAACACTCCCACATTATCAGCCTCTACATGTGTGTTCCCTATAGTAGAGTAAGAAATCGAAGGACATCATATTCAAGTAGGGCAGCATGTCATAATAAGGAGAACTCTAGACTGGGAACAAGGAAATGTGGTTTTTAATTCTAGCTTTGCTATACATCACTGAGTGACTTTAAGGTAAGTCACTTAATTGTACTATCAGTTCCCACATTAGAAAATAATAATGTAAGGTGGAGATGGAGAGGTCCTCCATCTGTTCCTGTTTGTGGTCAACATTATTCTATTTGTATAAAGGCCTAGAAACTGCAAAACCTCATAAATGAGATCCACAATCATTCAGCCTAATTACCTACACAGGAAAGACGTAAGGAGATGAAGAATATGTATTGTTTAGACTGTGATATGAAGTTGGATAGACAACTTGTGTATGATTATAATCTACATAGACAGATAGAAGATAGATAGATAAGATAGATAGATAGATAGATAGATAGATAGATAGATAGATAGATAGATAGATAGATAGATAGATAGACAGGAAAGACAGATAGATAAGATAGATACAGACAGACAGATAAGAAAGACAGACAGACAGATACATACATACATAAATGGATATATAGATATGGAGGTAGATAAGTAGATAGATGGATGGATGGATAGATGTTTAGATAAACAAAAAGATATATAGATAGATAGATAGACAAATGGACAGACAGGAAAGACAAACAAATAGATAAGATAGACAGATACAGACAGAGAAGATAGACAGAAAGACAGATAGATAGACAGACAGACAGATAGATAGATGGATAGATAGATAGATAGATAGATAGATAGATAGATGATAGATAGACAGAGCTCCAAAAGCAGTCTACCCCATAAGAGGAATGGAGGCCAAGGACTCAACAAGAGAAGGAAAAATATGACCTATCAGAATCAAGGGATCCAGGGGCAGCGTCCAGGTTATTGGTGGGGATGTGATTCTAGAGTAGAGGTGTCATGGCTGAAGCAGGCTGGGAAGAATGTGTCATAATCCAGTTTCATTTTTTTTCTCTCTACTATAGAAGGCTTAACATTGAGACAGATATCAAGGAAAGCAAATGTGGGTGGACACATTCTCAACACGTTAAGATGCATGACACATAAAGAGTGGTTTGAGTGAAGTGAGAAACATAGCACTTTGCTAAAAATGTTAATATGTACAAATTCCTCCTGTAGGACCTTGCTGCTCAGATGTTCCAAATGAGTGACCATCATCCTTAATAAAAAGGGAGAATAGAATCTCTGGCTATAAGCTGCCACTGTGATTGAGTCTTCTCTCTATCCTGCAACAGACAATGAGTTGAGTTAACCCTCTCACTCCCTGTGTAGCTCAGAGGCAGGGGCCATGTTGATGCTTTGCCTCTCTGCATTGGTCCTCTTTATGCACATCCTGGATGCCCATGCTGCAGGAATGACATCCTTTTCCAAGACAGCAGTCCCAGAAGCCTGTGCCCTCATCATGTGTGGCCCTGTGGAAAATGGATTGCCTGGAAGAGATGGGAGAGATGGGAGAGAAGGCCCCAGAGGAGAAAAGGGAGATCCAGGTAGAGAAGTATCTTTGGGTTTAACTCTATAGACACGTACATTCTGCTGTGAGGGTTTCTCTCTCCCTTGCTGTGTTGAATGTCTTGATTTGTGGGGGGGGGGGTCCTTTTATTTATTTGTTTACTTATTTATTTTCATAATTTTTTTAAAAAAAATTTATACTAAGATGCAAAATTAGGAAAGAAAAAAATTCCACGTGCATTGGTTGGGTTTTGAAATTAAACAAATATGAATTCCACAGTTAATGAAAGAGCCCTTCAATTTCCCACTGCTCTTGGTGAAGTGTTGATTTTTCCATAGTCAATCAGTTCCCTTGACTTCAACCCTGCTTGAGAAATTGTTTCCCTAGTAGAATGAAAGTTTTTTGCTCATCCACAGATTGAAATGGCTTGAAGTTTCCATCCAAAGCTTTCAGTGATGGTAAAAGACGTAAGCTTGAAAGAACCAGAAAATTAGGGCTGGGCTTTAAACAAAAAGGGAACTGGTCAAAGTATTCTTAAAAGTGCTTTAACAAAATTTCATATCTGTAGACTTCTTTGCCTCTTTATTAAAAAAAAATAACAGAAATCTATTTTCTCTTCTTCCCATCCCCCTCCCTATTGGAAAAAAAAGAAAAAAAACAAATTTCTTATGATAAATTTACACAGTCAAGCAAAATAAATTCTTTCAGTGGTTGGTATAAAAACTCTGCATCTCATTTGGGCTAGATGACATATCACAGCTACATTATCATCTACATTATTTTAAAATCCTAAAGTTATACCTGGAAGGACCTTAGAGCTCCTCTAGTCTTAATCCAGTGCTTTAGAGATTCACAAACTGAGGGTCCTTGGCCCAAGGTCACACAGTCATTAATTAGCAGAAAAGGGATTTGAAGGCTGATTCCCAAATCCTGCACTTTCCTCTATGCTCCAAGTATATTTGCTCATGTCCACAAAGGTTCCATAAGTTCCTGGAGAGTTGGGGCCACATGTGAATATCTACAATTATCGCAGTGCTCTGCATATAATAGATGATCAATAAAAACATCTTGGATAATAACCTTTTGGCAGCTGTTTCAATTTGCTTTAGGAAAAAGGGAAGCAAAAGGTCACCTAGAATCATGGATTCTTAGCCAACATATCCCACAAATGAACTTCTATTGCCTTTATGCTGACTCTGATTAAAAGTCTATTTCATTTCTTGGAACAGGATTATTAGGACCTAGAGGTCTAGCAGGGTTAACTGGAGAAATTGGTCCCATTGGACCCAAAGGGGAAAATGGATCCATGGGGGATCCAGGCCCAAAGGGAGACACTGGAGAAAAAGGTAGGTGCCAGGATGGAAGGAAGCTTTGGTGTGGTGGGGAAAATGCTGTATTTTTCAGTGAAAAGAAGACCGAGCACTATGTCCTGCTTCTATTACTAATTAATGAGAATGAACATATCTCTTCACCCTTCCAGTGCTGGTTCTCAATTTCCTAACCTTAAATGGAGAAAGGCAGACTTGATGATTGCTAAGGTCCCTCTACAATCCCATGATTCTTTAACATTGATAATATCACCTTTCTGAGCCTCAGATTCATTATGTGTCAAATAGGGATAATAATATTTTTACTATTTATCTAACAAGGTTATTGTGAGGATTAAAGTAGATAATAGAAGTTAAGACCTAAATAAATGTGTTTGGAATCTGAAGTTTATATAAATTTTGTTTATATTAGTTATATTATACCATATCACATCATGTTACATAGAATTTTACAAATAAACATAAATGCATATACATTTACAGACATATAGATATGTTTTTATGTTTGTATACACGTAAATACACACACATAGTTATATATATGAGGCAGCGTGGTATAGTATTTAATGAAAAGGCCTCAGAGTCAGGAAACCTGAGTTAAAGTCTTTCCTCTGACCAGTACTGACTTTGTGACCCTAGGCAAGTCACTTAACCCTGTTTACCTCATCTATTAAATGAGCTGGAGAAGGAAATGGCAAACCACTCCAGTATCTTTGGCAAAAAAAAAAAAACAAACCAAAAAACAAAACAAAACAAAAAAAAAGAACCCAAATGCGGACACGAAAAGTTGGACATGACTGAAAAATTGACTGAGCAATAAAAAACTCACTGTGTAATACTACTGACTTCTCCCACATTGCTCCTTCTATGTTACCCACACTATTTCTCACCTTCAAATGGGCACAAAACAGTGCCTTGACTACAATTCATCTTTTCTGTGCTTGTCTTGTCTTGTCTAGCACTGGCCACAATTTATCTTATCTGTTCTTCCCTAAGGACTCCCTGGAGCTCCAGGTGTGCCTGGTCCTCCTGGAAAAATTGGTCTCACTGGAAAACAAGGGAATGCAGGTCCCCAAGGTGAACAGGGACCCAAGGGAGAAGCTGGAGACAAAGGTAGGTACTGGGGCTGGGCTAAAGAAGTATTGACACTTAGTCCATGGCTATCCCCTGATGTAACAGTGACTAGAAGTCATCTGAAGTATTTGGCAGTGGATAGAGATCAGAACTGGAAATCAGACTGAACTCTGCTACTAACCAGTGCTCTGATTTTGGGTATGTCATTTCATCTTTGCCCCTATAAGCCTCAGTTTTTTCAGCTGTAAAAGAGAGGCACTAGATCAAAAGGCTTTTTAAATCCTTCTCCCAATCTCCTGTCAAGAAAGCTAATAGGTGAGCATCCTTTCTTTCTGCAGTGGTTCAGCCCCAAAGGGAAAATAGTTACTATCATCCTTGTTAATACCCACCCATGACCTGAGTGGCATAACTGTCACTCCTAAGTCTTTTCTTCATTCATTCCTACAACATTTACAGCTGTTGCATGTCCACACTTCTGCTGCACGCTACAAGGGAATCCCCCAGCCATTCATCATGGTACAGTAGAAAGAGCGCTGGTTTTGTAATCCAGATCCTAACTCTTATATTTACTATTTGGGTGATACTGAGCAAGACACTTAACCTCTCTGTGAGCCTCAGTGCCCTGATCTAGAAAATGAGGACGATGAACTGGATGAGCTCTCATGACCCTTCCAGCTCTATGTCTGTAATCCTGTGATCATATTTCAGGATAAAGAAGAAATATCAGATACTGTCCCTGCCCTTAAGGAAGAAGAATATATACAAGAAAGAAGTTGAGGTTGTATTAGAACAGAGTATGAACTGGAGTCAAGTGCTAAGAGAATGGGAAGGATTACATGGACAGAACAATTAACAATAAAATATTTCTGGGAGAATCATAGGTTTAAAGGTGGAAGGGCTTTCAGAGGCCACCTGGTCCATCCAGCTCTCTCATTTTACAGATGGGGAAATTGAAACCCCAAAAGAAAAGGGGATTCACCCAGATTCACACAACAAACAAGTGGAAGTACTAGAATTCAAATGCAGGACATTTGGTCCTGGGTCCAAATACAGAGTTCTTTCTACTATACAACTGCTGCCTTTTCTAAGCAGTTCTCCTGCCAAATCTGAAAGGTAATGATAATCATGGCTTAATGGTGAGATCAAGTCATTGTTTAGCCTTTCCCCATTCCATATGTTGTACATTGCCACCAGCTGAAAAGGAGAAAGTGAAAAAGCAATGACCAAAATATCCCTAAGTGATGAGTAGCTGTTTTGTTCTATCCTCAGGAGCCACAGGAAGACAAGGGACACAAGGTCCCACAGGCCCAATAGGTCCACCAGGTCCTAAAGGGGAGAAAGGAGTATCAGGTGAAAGAGGACCTCCTGGAAATGCTGGTGCAGCTGGTGAGTGATGGGAAGCAGGACCTGGGAATCTCCAAAAGCCATTTGTCTTCTGGCACCCTAAAGGTTGAAGTCCTTTTTATGTAACATTTGAGTCAGGCCCACCCCTTACATTGAAACATCAAGGGAGGTTGAAAGCTCAGTACTTAGACAAGATGTGGAACATTTTTGCAGACAACCAAGTGTTGTAAATTGACTCATTCTTGATCTCTTTCTTGTCATTCAACATTAGGTCCAGTTGGAATCTCTGGTACTCCAGGTCCCTCAGGGCCAAAAGGCTCACTTGGAGCAAAAGGTGATAGAGGATTACCTGGGGAGAAAGGTGCCAAAGGAGAAAGTGGTCTCACAGGTAAGCCAGCCAAGCACATGATGGAGAGGTAACTTTCTCCAGTTCTGTGGTCGTCCTATTTTCTTAAATTTTAGAGAACAGATAAAGATCAGGAGGCATTGAAGTCAAGCCATCAAGATGGAGTCTGAATTGATAAACTTGGCAACTGATTGAATATGTGGGGAGAGGACAGTGAAGAATTGAGAATTTCTTAAAGTTTGGAAATCTTGGAGACAGGAAGAAAGGCAATGCCTCTTCTGGGGAATCCAGCTGTTCTTCAGACTGTGTGCAGTTCATTCGGGCAAACGCTTTTACAGAAAATATACCTTCTCGTTCATACCTTCTTTCATGATTCTCTGAAGAATATTGAAGAAGGTTTCTTTGTGGTTGCTTCTATCATGAAATTTCAACATATACAATGTTAGAGGAGAGACTCTAAGGTGTGATTTTGCCTTATTGAATCACACATCTTCTTAAAAATCAATGCACACTCAAGTATCTACTATTCTCTGTATGTCACAGTAAACCATATAGCTATGGAAATGTAGTCTAATTGAATGTTGTCTGTGAAAATCTACCTGTTCCCTTCTCACGTTTTCATCAAGGATACCTTCAGTGTGTGCATTTGTATAGACCATTCTAGTATACAATCTTAGTCCACAGCTCTTAATATTTTCTGTTCCTTTGGTATCTTTCCCTCTTTACTATGTCTTGAATATCATCTACTTGGTACCTTGTTACCTTTATCACAGATGTCTTCTAGGCATTTATGACAAGTTTTAGTTGTTCTTTTCAAAGTTCATCTTTACAAATGTCATTGGCATGTTCTCACATTGCACAGTGGTTAGGGAGATATTAGAGTCCAAATGTGTTGGTTCCATCAATCAAGCAATGAGCATTTATTAAGAACCTACTTTGTGCCAAGCACTGTGCTAGGTGCTAGAGATAATAGATGCAAAAAAAATGAAACAGTCCCTACTCTCATGTCATTAATGATGAGGATAGATCACTCTTTATTGTTATGGAATTAAATATGAGCTCTTGATCATGGCGATTGAGCCCACTGTGGTTCAATCTATTTTCCTGGTAGTCAATCAACAAGCATTTATTAAGAGCCTACATTATGTCAGGCTCTATGTTAGGCACTGGGAATAAAAATGTTAAAAATAAAATAATCTCTACTTTCTTATCATTAATGATAAGAATAGATCACTACAGAAATGCTGACAGATGTTTCATTCTATTCTACTTCTCACCTTCTCTCATTCCATATTTCCAGTTAATTCTGTGATCAACTCAATTTGACTGTCATAACATTTCATACATCTCTCCCCCTTCTTTGTATTCACAGGACCACCACACTGGTTCAGGCTTTCCTTACCACTCACATGAATTACTGTAATATCTTTCTAAATGCTCTCTCTGCCTCAGGTGTCTTCTCCCCTTGATTCATCCTACACAAAGCTACCAAGGTAATTTTCCTAAAGTACAGATCTGACCATGTTTCTCCATTAGAATTTAAATTGCTCTCCCGCTCCACTAGAATGTAAGCTTTTGGAGGGCAGAGATTGTTTTCTTTTTTAAAACTTTTTTTGTATTCCCCAAAACAGAGCAGAATGCCTAGTACATAGTAGGTACTTAGTAAATGCTTGTGATTCATCAATGACTCATTTTTATCTTGAGGATCAAATATAAACTCCTATGATTGACATGTAAAGCTCTGCAAAGTCTAAGTACAATCCACATTTTCAGCTTTACTATTTATTCCTCCTCTTCACATAGTCTATGGACCAGCCAAAATAGCTCCAATGCTATTGCTAAGACATGACAAGATGTCTCCAGTCTCTGATTTTGTACAGGCTTCCCCTATGCCCTTTCTTCTTCCCTTCATATCTCCCCAAGTTGATAGTACCCATCCAATCAAATTACCTAGATTCTATTTTGTATATATTGTGTATGTACATAGAATAGAATAGTAATAGAATGTGAGCTCCTTGAGGGCATTCACTCTTTCATTTCTATCTTTGTATCTCCAGTACCTAGCTCAGTAGTTAGCACATAGTATGAATACACATTTAATAAGCGCTTATTGGTTGATTGTTTGAAATATATTTATTATACTCTTTTTAGCCTTATCTATAAATGTTCTCAAAATGGAGATCTATCCATATCATTCCCCTGAACAAAACAAAACAGAAATTTTAGTCTGTTGCCTCTACTAGAAACTTCAACTTGGTGCTTAAAACTCTATACTGTCTGGGTCCAGCCTGCTCTTTGCCTACTAACCCCTAAGCACCTAGTACATATAAGGCACTACCAGACATATGCTATCTTACTCTCCTTCATGCATTTCACATTCCAGCCAAATTGGTCTATTAGCAATTCCTTGTAGAAATAATTCCATCTCTTGCTTACATGGCCTCCTACAGCTGATGTCCATGCCTTGAGGATACTCCACATTCAATCCTCATTCAAGGAGAAGCTTAGGATCCATGACCTAAAGGATCTCTGATTCCCCTTATTGTTAGTGCTTTAATTCCTCCCCAAATTATCTTCTATTTATAATTTTTTCAAATGCAAGAACTGTTTTCTTTTTGTCTTTGGGTCCTGAGAGCCTGGCACATAAATAGGAACTTTATAATTGCTTGTTGAATGGAAAAGCTTATTGAATCTAGCTCAGCTGTGCTTTATGGCAAACTTTCCTTGGACTCATTTTCCCTTCCACTGCTCTTTCTTGTTCTTTGAAGTGATACAGCTTGTAATTTGCCATCATCCTCCTCTCTGATGCTTTTATAAATGAGCATGTATTCTCAATAGATGTTGCCTTTGACTACCACTTTTTTCCTTCTTGTCAATTAAATTTGCTACCTGAGACAAAAGCAAGGCTCTTTGGCCCCACTTTCCCCCCTCCTTGCCTTGGAAAATATATGGATTCAGAGTGCAATGATTCTTTTTAAAATAAGAGCAACCAGAAGAAATGTCTTTACTTTTATCCATTTCTCATTTTTCTCCAAAGACAAAACCTTCTTTGAATGAATGAGGCAGAATTCCTGAAATCACTCATCCTATTTCTCTCACCTTTATACTTTCTTCTAATGTGGTATTGATTTCCATCTTTGGTCTGCATGGGTAACCTGTCACTTCTCTGTACTGTCTTCATTCTCTGTATATTTTCAGGTATCCAAGAACCTTCTTATTCTCTTCTTGAAGAGAATATTAATAATAACCAGGCTCCTGAATATTTCTTGGTCTTTAATTGATCTTGTTTCTTGATCTTTAATCATATTTTCTGTCCCAGTTTTCATTGTTCCCTGACCTCAGACCTCCCCAACCAACTTGACCTTGAACTCACCAACTACTGAGGTAACTAGAGAATTATCAGCATAGAGATAATTGAACCCAAGGAAGCTGCTGCAATCACTAAGTGAAAAAGTAGAGAATGAGAAAAGCAGAGGGCACAAGAAAAAAACAAAACAAAACTTGTTTTGTTGTTTTTCAGTCATGTCCAATTCTTCATGACCCCTTTTGGGATTTCTCAACAAAGATACTGGAGTGGTTTGCCATTTCCTTCTCTAGCTCATTTTACAGATGAGCAAAGTGAAACAAACAGGGTTAAATGACTTGTCCAGGGTCACACAGCTAGTAAGTGTCTGAGGCTAGATTTGAACTCAGGAAGAAAAGTCCTCCTGACTCCAGGAACAGCAATCCATCCACTGAGCCACCTAGCTACCCCTACAGAGGCCCAAGTTTAGAAGGTGTGACCTGGATGAAAATCCAGCAAAGGAAACAGAGAAGAAACTGTAAGATAGATCAAAGGAGAACCAGTAGAGAGTAGCGTTACAAAAACCTAGAGAGAAAAGAGTATCAAAGAGAAGGGAGTGATCAACAATGTCAAAGACTACGTACAGAGAGGTTGAAAAGGATGATGACTGAGAAAGGCAATTGATTTGGAAATTAAGAAATCATTACTAACTTTTGAGAAAGCAGTTTTGGTTGAATGATGAGGTCATAAACCAGATTGTCAAGAGTTAAGAAGAAAGTGAGAGGAGTGGAAGTAAAGCCACCTGTTGTAGACAACCTTCTCAAGTATTTTAGTGATGAAAGTTAGGAGAGATTTGGGATGACAGTGGGGTGGACTGATTAAGAGAGGGTTTTTTGAGGATGGGCATGTTTTAGGCAGTAAGGAAGCAGTCTGTAGACACAGAGGTTGAAAGTGAGAGAGTAGAGATTAGAGAGGCAATCTACTGAAGATGGGATGGAACAGTGTCACTTGGGCAGTGAGAGGGCTTTGCCTTGACAAGAAGAAGGACCACCTCTTCATGTGAAAGAGGGATGAATAATGATGTGAATAGAGGTCTCATGAGAAAGTTTTCATACTGGTGAAATTTTGTCTTCTTAAGTGATGAATGGGAAATTAAACAGGTATCAAAGATATTTATTAGATATGACAATTTTTCAGTGGAAAAAAATGTTTCCCAGAGCTCCCTATCTCTGTTTTATCCCAAAATTATTACATCCCACTCTAGGCATCACTTATATATGATTCTTATATGAAAGGAGTTATTATACATGTTTTAATATAGTCCAAGAACAAAAGGGTTCCATGGCCAAATCACCTTGGGCAATACATATCCAGGCATCTTCTCAATTATTTCCACCTAGCCCTGTGGAGAAGTCAGTAAATTTTCATGTTTACAGGAAGTCTGATGCTACCACGTGGGAGATAGCTTGAAGTTCACCCTAGTCCAGGGCTTCTTAATCCTTTGGCCATACTGGAAAGTTGCACCACCCCCCTACTTACTGCAGTTGGTGCCCTGGGCCTCACCCAGTGTTCAACCTGTGCTGACCTGGGGCTCTTCCAAAACCTCTCTCCTCATGCAGAAACCAATGCTCTGAAGCAGCAAGTAGTGGCCTTACAGGAACAAATGAGAATCCTCCAAACAAGTTTTTCCAGGTACCAGAAAGGTAAGCGATTTGTGGCTGGGGCACTGTCTTTTCCCAATTTCTACTCCTTCCCTGGTTCTCTGCACACAGACTGTTTTTACTGGGCTTTCTAACTCTGGTTTCTTGCTATTCAAAGCTCATTCTCAGAGCCAGGGCTGATCTGCCTAGTGATGAGGACTTTTTGAAGCACTGTGCAGAAAATTTGTTGCAGGTAAAGAAGAAACTTTCTTAGAATCCTAGACTTAGAGCTGGAAAAGGCCTTGTTATTGTTCTATTGTTTTTCAGTCTTGTCTGACTCTTCATGACCCTATTTGGGGTTTTCTTGGCAAAGAAACTTGAGTGATTTGCCATTTCCTTCTCCGGCTCACTTTGCAGATAAGGAAACTGAGGTAAACAGAGTTAAGTGACTTGCCCAAGGTCACACAGCTAAAGAATCTGAGCCCTGATTTGAATTCAGGGCTTCCCAACTGGAAGATCAGTGTTCTGTTCACTGCATCACCTAGCTGCCCTAGGGCCCTTAGAGGTAACTTAAATCTAATTAAGTTAAATTCATTTAATCTAATCTGATTAATTCTAATTTAATGCCCATATTTTAAAGATGAGGAAACTGAGACCCCAACAGCATAAGTGATTGGCCCAAGGTCACTCAGGCAGTAAGTCAAAGACAAATGCATGTCCTCTGTCTCCATCTTCAGTATTCTTTTGTCTATGGTGCCACACTGCCTCAAGAGAACCAAGAATCCCTACCACTTAGGAATTCGTTTTTAAGTATTTAGGTTGGGAGCGATACTTTGTATCTTCTCTTGGTAACACAAATGTGACTTAAAGGAGAGGAAGGATTTCAAATGAGGTGAAATGAAACAGGGATAACAGGACTTTGTTTCAAGGTCTTCCTTCTGCAGCATGGAATTATGGTAATGCACTAGGATGTTGTTGCAAGCCTGAGGAGCAAGGCATCCGACCAGATACTTAAAAGGTGAGATTGTGAGCTACCCAGAGCAGATGAGAGCAGCTTGGTCTTGGCAGAAGGTACTGGAGGCTTGATTTAGCTTTACGGCCAAGAGTAAGAATCTGGGATATTCAATTCACCCTGATGAAGGTTTGCAGAGCTGAAGCTGGGCCTTAAAATCACAAAACTGGAGGCTGGAGAAATAATTTGACTTTTGGGCTAGGCTGGCTAGAAGCCAGAGTGACAACAATGTTTCCTTCTGCTATTACTTGGCCTTGGAGCCTTTAGAAAAGGCAGGGCAGCAAAGAGATACTAATTCCGACCATGAGTTTCCCCAGTTCAGGGCTCCCCTCCCCCATGTCCCAAGCTAAAGGAAAGGGAACATTAAGATTTTTTGATGCTTCTCAAAGTTCTCCAAGTATCCACTCAGTCTTTGCCCAATCCCCTTAACTGCATTGTCTTCACTGACTACTGCATTTTAAGGTCAATATTTGGGGAGAGCTGGTTAAGTGAAAGAAAATGAATGTTTAATGTCTAAGATAGAATCTAAATGACTACAAGTGATTAAAGTATAATGGAAAGATCGCCAAATTTAGATTCAGATTCCTAGTTCTGCCATTTATTAGCTTTGTGACCTTGGGCCAATCTCTTAACTTTTTTGGGCCTTAGTTTCCCCATTTGTGATGTGAAGAGGGCTTCCTAACCTAAGTCTAAGATATTATAACGTTCAGAAAAAACAAATCATTTATGAGCTGCTTAAATCAAGGATTAGGCACATCAAGCCAGAACGACTTCCTAGAGGAGCTGTCAGACCAGGTGTAGCCTCTGTGCTAATAGAGCCAGCGTATTCTTTAAATCATATGTGGTACTACGAGCCACGGTAAGTTATCTAAGACAGTATGTTCAGCAAAATGGGAAAGACACTGGCTTAGGAGTCAGAGGTTGTGAGCGCAAGTCCCAAATCTGACACTTATTTTCTGGGTTACCTTGGACAAATCATTTCTCCAAGAAAGCACGGAACCTCTCTGGTCTCTCGGTCTCCTGAATGCCACCCTAACCTCAGAACTAGCTAGCCCCTCTGTTCATCTGCCTCAAGCTCTCCTGTGCTTTCCTCCTAGCTGAACTGTTTCCAAGTGGTCAAGCAGTTGGGGAGAAGATTTTCAAGACAAATGGCCATGAAGGTAACTTTGAGAAAGCATTGCAATCATGCCAAAAAGCTGGTGGGCAAGTAGCCTCCCCCAGGAATGCAGCAGAGAATGCGGCTGTTCAGGAGATTGTCACGACATACAATAAAGCGGCCTTCCTTGGCATGACTGACACTAAGACAGAGGGAAAGTTCATCTATCTAACAGGAGAATCACTGAGCTATTCCAACTGGGGCCCAGGAGAGCCTAACAATGATCAAGGTAGAGAAGACTGCATTGAAATATTCACCAATGGCAAATGGAATGACAAAAGATGTGAGGAGTCACGTCTTATCATTTGTCAATTTTGAGCCACTGGTGGGGAAAGAGTTGTGCTTTGTCTGGTATGAGTTAGCAAGGGGATACAGTTGATTCAGGCTGTTGCAGACTAGAGGTGGCAAGGGCTGCCTGGGGATCATAGAGGATCATCAGATAGAGGGCCACTGTATTGCTCATGACTAATAAACAAAAATATCAACACCTTGGGCCAACTGTGGCTTTTTTTAGTTATGACTACAGTTAATTCCACTAGGGTCTGAGTTGGGAAAGGGGAGATGGTGTGAACTCCACCATAGCTGAGGCTCTAAATCTGCCTTCCTAAAAGCACAAGTGCTGAGTCCTGAGCCTTCAAACTCAACAGACCTTGATTAAATCCCATGTGAAGATGACTGTGCCGGGGACTGCTCTTTGAAAAATCACATGATCCTGACCTCCTTCAACTTATACTGTCACTTTTGTAGAGGGGTTATCCCTTAACTCACTCACTTCTTAAAGAGGCCTATTCACTGAATGGGCATTGCCTCACTCAAAGTGAGAACCTGAAAAGTCCTTAGCTTAAAAGGGCCTAGGTCTCCCACTGCATTCTGGGCCACCTCCAGTCATCCTGATTGATATCTGGCCACTGGACCCAGATGGCTCTGTAGGAGAAAGTCTGGTGACCTTGCACAGCCCTCCCTCACTTAAATACAATTCATTTGGAAGTCATGGCATCATCTTCCTGATGTCATGATCCTCTTTGGACAAAACCATTGTCATTCCTGAGTTACATTTGTCTCTGAATGTGGATGTGAGCCACTTGAGGATAGGGTCTGTCTTGCTTTTCTATTTGCATCTCTAGGACTTCACACATTGTTTTACATATAGCAAACATTTAATAAATATTTTTCCATGTATTCATTCATTCAACAACACCTTACTACACTCAATAATAGCTTACTGAACATCTTTTGCTGCAAGAATGAAAAAGCTTCTATTAAATGCTTACTATGTGCCAAGCACTTTGCAAAGTACTGGGGACACAAATAGAAAATAGAAACTCTTGCTACTCTCAATGAGTTCACATTCTACATGAGGAAGACAACATATCTAGGAAGTTTTGGCAGCAGGGTGAATGGAAAAACCTGATCATCCTTGGAGGGCTGAAGGCAAGCCTCAAGAGTTTTTAGGGTGCATTGTAGAGTCAATGACTGGGCATCCTAAAGGCATAGTAGAAGGGCAGGGGGTGATGTCCATTACTCCTCCTGGCTGGATGCTAACTACCTCCCCCATGTTGAACTTTCTTCCCATTGCACCACAATATCATGTCCCAATAGAAAGTAACCTCCTTGAGGGCAGAGAATGTTTTATTTTTGTCTTTTATCTCTAGTGTCTACCACAGTGCCTGGTCCAGAGTAGGGGTTTAATGAGGGTTTGTTGGATTTAATTGAATTGGCTCACACAGTAATATAGGAAGGAATCAGTAGAGTGTATAGAGGAGGCTTCTTGAACTCTGATTTACACTTCAAGACAAAGGAAGGATTTGAAGGGGGGAGAGGATGTCAAAGCAAAAGGAAAGATGTAGAAGCAGGAATGAATCAGGTATATTCAAGGAGCTGTAAGAGACTAACCTGTCCAAAACAGAAAGGTTCCTGGGGAAGAAGTAATAAAAGGGGAAAACTAGAATAGAACTCAATTACAGAAGTTCTTGAATACCTGGATTATCATCTTATCACCCATGCCAGTCATTGAAGGCCTTCACCATCTGTTCCTACACCCAGATCATGAAGTCAGGAGATTAGAATTGCATTTTAAATGGGCAGTGCCCAAGTCATCAGAATTCCATGGGTTTCCAATTGAAAAAAAAGAAGAAATTGTAAGTAAAAGAAGGGAAATAAAGGTCTTTATGTGATTCTTAGCAAACTTGAGATACTGCCTACAGAGCAGAAGTATGCCGGGTAAATGTTTAACAACTGACTCTCCAGAAAAAATGTACCACAACATACTTTTAAGTTTAATTTACATTAATAATATCTTCTCCATCACTTTCTTAAATATAGATGATCAACAAAACAATAAATCAATCCCTGATCCATAGCATTTGCTGATTTCCAATGTATAAATGGTCACACTGAAAATTTACCAATGGAGCCTCACTAGATTGTTGAACCTAGGTCTAGTGTACCACTGCCAGAGCATCCTGAACTATCAGGGACACTTTTACAAGATGAATCAAATGTGCGGGTGCCCAGGTCACAAAACACAGACTCACTACGCCCCTCCTTTAGTATGTGGCATATAGACTCTTATTGCTAGATATCTTTGCATTGTTTCTCCAAGTGTACTGTAATTTCCTGGAGGATAATATCCATCTTAGAATCTGCATCCCCCATTCACAAAGCCTTATACATACTCTGGACATTTGTTGTTGTTCAGTCGTTCAGTCATGTACAACTCTTAGTTACCCCATGGATTTGTCCATGGGATTTTCTTGGCAAAAAAAGGGGAGTGGTTTGCCATTTCCTTCTTCGGTGTGCATCCATATTACATATGAAGAACTGAGGCAAATAGGGGTTCAGTTATTTGCCTAGGGTCACATAACCACTAAGTTTCTGAGGCTGGATTTAAAATTTTTTTCCTAATAACATGTAAAAACAATTTTAACATTTGTTTTTTAAACTTTTGAGTTCTAAATTCTCTCCATTCTTTCTTCTCATCCCCTCCTCCCTGTCTTGATAAGCAATTTGTAATAGGTTTTCCATGTATAATCACGCAAAACATATTTACGAATTAGTCGTGTTGTGAGAGAAAACACAGATGGAAAAAAAAACAAAGTGAAAAAAGTTTACTTTGATCTGCATTAAGACTGCATCAGTTCTTTGTTTGCAGGCGGATAGCATTTTTTATCATGGATTCTTCAGAACCATCTTGGAATAGCTAAGCCATTCACATTTAATCATCTTAAAATATTGATGTTACTGTGCATACTCTTCCTGGTTTTGCTCACATCACTTTGCATCAGCTCATGTAAGTCTTTCCAGGTTTTATGAAATTATCCTGCTCATCATTTCTTATACCACAATAGTATCCCACTACAATCAAATACCACAACTTGTTCAGCCATTCCCCAATTGGTGGACATTCCCTCAATTTCTAATTCTTTGCCACCACAAAAAGAGCTGCTATAAATATTTTGGTACAGACAGCTCCTTTTCCCTTTTTTTAATCTCTTTGGGATATAGACCTAGTGATGGTATTGCTAGATCAAAGGGTATGCACAGTTTGATTACTCTTTGGCCATAGTTCCAAATTGTTCTCCAGAATGGTTGGATCATTTCACAACTTGACCAACAGTGCATTAATGTCCACATTTTCCCACTTCCTCTGCAACATTTGTCATTTTCCTTTTCTGTTACATTAGCCAATCTGATGGGTATGATATGCTATATCAGATTTGTTTTAATTTGCATCTCTTTAATCAGTAGTGATTTAGAGCATTTTTATGTGACTATTGATAGCTTTAATTTCTTCATCTGAAAACTACCTGTTCATATTACTTGACAGTTTATCAGTTGGGGAATGACTTCTATTCTTATAAATTTCACTCAGTTCTCTATGTATTTGATAAATGACCAGAGATACTTGCTACAAAAATTGTTTCCCAGATTTTTGCTTTCCTTCTAAACGTGGTGCATTGGCTTTGTGAAAAAAAAACTTTTTAATTTACTATAATCAAAATTATCCATCTTACATTTCTTAATGTTCTCTATTGTTTAGTCATAAATTCTTCCCTTCTCCATAGATTTGACAAGTAAACTGTTTCATGCTTCCCTAATTTGCTTATGGTATCACCCTTTATGTCCAAATCATGTACCCATTTTGACTTTATCTTGGTATACAGTGTAAGATATTGTTCTATATCTGGTTTCTGACATACTATTTTCCAGTTTTCTCAGCAGTTTTTTTTTGTCAAATAATGAGTACTTGTCCCAAAAGCTTGAGTCTTTGGGTTTATCAGACACTAGATTACTATGGTTCAAATGGGTACACTGAAAATTTACCAATGGAGTCTCACTAGCTGGATTTTTAAGATATGTTTTAACTCTTCCAGGAGTTTTTTTGAGGATAGCCTGAGACCAATTCACCTTTTTCCCTGGGGATTGACATGTAGGCATTTTGACATTGTTATCCTCATCTGAGTTTGTGTTTTGATCTTCCCTGTCACCATAGTAATTTTTTATGGTTAGGTTCTTTTTTGTTTGTGGTGGGTTTTGCTTATTTCCTCAGCCTATTTAATGACTTTTACCTGTATGTTAGAGATGGGCTCTGCTTCTCATTTAGAGGGAGCACTAACCCAAACTTCTTGTGCTGTGGGCACAGAGTCTCAATGCTGGCCTGGACTGCGGGTGCAGAGCCTCACTGCTGGCCTGAGCCTGGAGTGTGGGGCCTTGATGCTGGCTTCTTGGGGTGCTACCTGTTGCTGGCTTGCCCAAAGGACACCTTCACTGTACCCTTTTACCCGAGTAAGACAGACCTTCAAAGTTGTCTTAGAATAGAAAATTGTTTCACCCTCTCATTTTGTTGCTTCTGCCATTCCAGAATTAGTTTTCAGGCATTATTTCATTGTTGTTTGGAGCTGAACTTGGGAGAATTCAGGTGACTTCCTGCCTTACTCCCCTATCTTGGTTCCATGCTCTGAAGCCAGATTTGAACTTGAATTTTCCTGACTCCAGACCCTGGAAATTTGTCCACTGCACCACCCAAATATCCTGCTCTGGACATAGTCAGGTTCAATAAATATTCAAGCAGATACATCAGCTCCTCTTTCCCTGTGCCAGACTTCTAATCCCTTCCATTGGTAGTTATTTAAACACATTCATTAGAGGGGGAAATTCTTAAGATCTACACATCCACACACAAAAATCACTCCAATGTGAAACCTCAGAGTTTGAAGATTCTAATATGTAACTCATAGCAATAAGTCTGAACAATAAGTAACAATTTTATAGTTCAGTCAATAACCCTGGAATCAACTTTTAAAGCCATATTAATTTGGAGGTGGGGCAGAGGATAGAGAGAAAAAACTCAGAGCACAGGGGCCCATGAAGGGACATCCGAAGGCCACCACTGAGGAGGCTGGTTGAGGGGATGAGAATTAGGAAGAGAGAGCAGGCTCAGAGAGATGAGTCAGAGATGTCTCCAGAGGCTTAGTTGTAGGGGGGAAC